ACCACAAGCACCCAGCCTGGGAGACAAATGAAAAGAACTGGGAGACACATGAAAGGAAGTGGGAGACAAGCCAGCCGGGAACCCGACCACAAGCACCCAGCCTGGGAGACAAATGAAAAGAAGTGGGAGACAAGCTAGCCAGGAACCCGACCACAAGCACCCAGCCTGGGAGACAAATGAAAAGAAGTGGGAGACAAATGAAAAGAACTGGGAGACACATGAAAGGATGTGGGAGACAAGCCAGCCGGGAACCCGACCACAAGCACCCCGCCTGGGAGACAAATGAAAAGAACTGGGAGACAAATGAAAGCAAGTTGCAGACAAGCCAGCCGGGAACCCGACCGGGAGACAAATGAAAGGAATTGGAAGACAAATGAGAAAAAGTGGGGGACACATGAAAGGAAGTGGGAGACAAGCCAGCCAGGAACCCGACCACAAGCAACCAGCCTGGGAGACAAATGAAAAGAACTGGGAGACAAATGAAAGGAAGTGGGAGACAAGCCAGCCGGGAACCCGACCACAAGCACCCAGCCTGGGAGACAAATGAAAGAATTGGGAGACAAATGAAAGGAAGTGGGAGACAAGCCAGCCTGGAACCCGACCACAAGCACCCACCCTGGGAGACAAATGAAAAGAACTGGGAGACAAATGAAAGGAAGTGGGAGACAAGCCAGCCAGGAACCCGACCACAAGCACCCAGCCTGGGAGACAAATGAAAAGCACTGGGAGACAAATGAAAAGAAGTGGGAGACAAATGAAAGCAAGTGGGAGACAAGCCAGCCGGGAACCCGACCACAAGCAACAGCCTGGGAGACAAATGAAAAGAAATGGGAGACAAATGAAAAGAACTGGGAGACAAATGAAAGCAAGTTGGAGACAAGCCAGCCGGGAACCCGACCAGACCATCCAGCACCAAGGCGACCATTCTTTAAAGCATTGAGAACCCCTAGCAGTAAACTGTTTGGGGAAAAAGAACAGTTTCGCCAGAAGCAGTGAGACTTGATGGTTCCTGCTCCACTCTACTCCTGCTGCACCATCGAGCTGGCAAAGCCCTCCGTGCTTGGGGCCCCCACTGCACTGGTGGAGGGCAAAGCCGTTGACCTAGTCTGACTGGTGTCTGTCAAAGCGGCACGTCAATAGCAGCTCTCAGTTTGCTCGGAAAAGTCGATTTGCCCATCAAAGATCTCCAGGTGACACCCAATGAAAACTATATATATGATAAACATATAGTAAACACTGTAAGTCAAAGTCAAACTGTAAGCATATATAACTACATATAGCTCTCAGTTTGCTGGGTGAAACCTTTTATCTGATTGATCTCCTGTCCTTTCTCCTGTGATCCACCAAGCCAAATCTCTGTCGACAGTGCGTCGGCTCCACCCTCTGGTCAGACTCGATCCCTAACAATCCACGGGACTGGAATAGTGAGCACCCTAGTTGGAACGCCAGTCCCAAGCAGAAACCAATGGTTAGAATCCAAAATGGCAATTGAGATTCTTTACATAACAAGTGGCTGTTTGTGAAAACATCCACTTGTTTCTGGTTGAGACTTGGTTTCCAGGCAAAACGTCCAAATCCAAATATCCTACGTCCAAAGATCCTACCTCGACCCTTAAAGCATCTTAAAACCTGGCCAAACCGAAGCATCCAACCGAAGCTCTGGGCATGAAAGTCTTCGAGTTTCAACTCGATTCGATCAGATGAAGTCCGTCACCTTAGAGTATACATCTTATATACTCCTATGGATCCACGGTTTTACTCCGCGGTGGACTCATCATCAACCAGAACCCAAACCAAGATCCGGTGGTTTTTGGGCACTCCTTGACACCTCTAAGAGGCTGTTTATAGACACCTCTTGGAAGGTCCTGGAATATGCCAAGAACCTTTGTTTTACTGAGGGTTTTGTTGGACTACAAAGCCATGGTCAGCCAAACTGTTTGAATGGTCCCTCAAACGGCTATCAAGGCTATCTCACGTTCAAGGTCCCTGTGCATCCGCCTCAATTGATCTGTTCGACTCCGCTCTCTGTCCCACTTTGAATCGTGAGTCTCAGACTTAGACCATCTTAGAACCTTTCTCTTTGGGAGAAACCTTTTTGCCATGATCTTCATGGACCGCGTTCGGCCCAGCTCAGAGCTCGCTCCTCCCAGGTCCCTCGACCAAGGCTCCCCACGTCCGTCGTGCGGCGTCACGCACGGACGTACGCACCAGCGCGCGGCTGGGGATCGACGCCACCCGGTCGACGTGGACCGCGCCTGGCGCATGCGAAAATGCATCAAAAGGGGAGCAAGCAAGGACGTGAAGACGCCATGAAGTTGATTCTGTTTTGGTGTTTTTTTGATTCAAGGGGGTGTGGAGGGGTCAAAACAGGAAAGCTAAACCCACATTCGATTCAACTGGCATGGTCCAACATGAAAACCCTCGAAGCACATGCTCCCTCCAAAAAGGAACCAACCATCTTTGCTCACCAAGATCCCCTCAACCTGTTACCTCACCCCTTTGAAGAAATGTTGCGATCGAAAGGAATGATGAGACCACTGTGTTCCCAAAAAAGAACAGTGCAGGAACACGGTGGTTTCCAACCTTCTCACAAGGCCCTTCACCCACGCTCCCTGCCAGAATTCAAGTCGGCTCGAGCCCCCGGAAGTAGGGCATCCCCCAAAAGCCCAGGTCAGATTTTTCCAAGGCTCGGTGGTCCATTCCTCCAGTCGTTCAACACTAAGAGAGTCACACTCAGAATACATCCCGACATGTCATCGCGAAACTGCATGACTTGTCCACCTCGAACAACTGGTACTTCGGAAAAAAAAAAAAAAACGTTACTGGTCCCGTTCCGCGTCTTCGACCGATTCGACCGCTACGACGAAGACGAAGACCGAGATCGAACGTCTCGTCCTCGTCCTCGTCCTCGGTCCGATCGGAACCGACCTCGCCTGGCGAGAGCTCCATGGGGACCTGAAGCGCGTCGCTGGGTGCGGCAACGAAGGTCGCCCGGTGCGGCAACGAAGGTCGAGTGGTCGGGTCCGGCCGTCGTGGGGAGAGCGACCGCCCCGGTGAGGAGACGATTCCGAGCCCACTGGAAGAGGCCCTGGATCATCCTGGATCTCCGTGACGGAGTAGGGACTGACGCAGGAACGATCTGGCTTTTGTACAGTATTCCGGAATCAATGATTTCTATAGGGAATGGATTCTGTTCTTCAAGCATGACGATTACACCCAGCAGGAACTTCATTTCGGGGTGTCGAATGGAGATCCCTCATGAGTATAGTCTAGGGGCTTCCAGCCAGGTGACCCCGGAATGAAGGTGCTGGTACACTCCAGATGGGATGGTGTTCGTGTTCGATGGATTGTTTTTTGCATGAAATGAGGAAGAAACCTGCAGGTGGTGGTGGTGGTTGAACCCACGAAACCACGACGATTTCCGTGAATCTCATGGGCCACGTCACACTAATTCGATTCATGGATGGCTGATATAGTCTTCCCGCCGGGTCCTAGGAAGACGAAGAGATAGCCCACCAAGACCTTCCCAGTGACCGTCCGAATGAGATCCCAGTGGCGAACAGGTCACGAATATGTCTGTAAAAGTTCACTTACCAATCCTGAAGCTGGTCACTGGGAAGGTCCTGGCAGTCGTCTTTTCATACATTTCCAACATCTTGCATGAAACAAACACCACTTGAGAGTCGTGTATATACATGGTCCATGGTTTAAAAAAGGTTTTGAAACAAAAAAAACATAAAAATTAAAATAACATCGACATACATCGACTGATTCAAAGTAGCCACTGTGGTTGACAGAGTAGTAAATCAATGTGGAACCTACAGTGTTTCGGAGCGATCGGCCCGTCAGCCATCCATGCCACCTGTGCCACCACCACTCGGGTCCTCCAAGACGACGCCTCTGGGTCCCCTCCCCCCGTCATTCTTCAAGCGGCCTGATGTCCGCGCCCAGAAGAGATGAAGCAAAAAACTACAGAGAAAACGGAGAACACGCGACACCGACAGGTCTGGAAAGCTCCGCTGGCATGGTATCCGCAAGCGTGTGGTGCAGCGTAACTTGTACATGGAACCAAAGCAGGCAATCCTGGTTCAGTGTTTTTGGGCTCTTGATTCCGGCGTGTTCTACGGATCGTATATATGGGGGTTGGATGGGGTTGGTCGTTTTCGGCGGATCAAACGATGGATCTGCGATCTGCGGATCCAATTCCGTTCGATCCTTTGAAAAAAAGTGTCACTTGTTGGTTTGTGTCAATTCCGTGCTCCGGAAATCCCTTTAAACCAATGGAGCTGTTTATGTCGAAGAGTGCCAGCTAAGCACGCCCGAAGAAGCCCCCCAGGTGTTGAGGACGATCTTCACCAGCTTCGCCCAAGCGAAACTCGCGCGGCGAAAATGCAAAGAAGTGGCAGGTCATGTAATGTCAGACTAGCGAGCTGGTGGTTGCTTTCGTGACACACACGCACGCACGCAAGCCAAGAATTTTGAAGGATCTGCATCCGAGACCCACATCAACTGTTGTGTGATTATTGGTTGGCAGAACTCCCTTATAGACCTCATGATAAACAATCCTCCCAGAAGAACCCTAAAGGATCCTAAAAGTAACTATGTTCGTTCATCGTGGCTTTCCCAGCTTTCAGGATACCAAATCAAGTGATCATGTTCGATGGAACGAAATCAAGTCTTCGTCCAACAAACTGCACCGCTCTAGACCCCAGGACCCCGCAGACCCTGCGTCCATCACCGGTTTTCCAAAGCGGCAGCGTTCACCCGCCACGGTGGCACGACTGGTACGACCACTACAAACCTGTGCAGCGACTGGTGCGGCATCACAGAAGGTGCTACCTGAAGGAGTTGCCACTGCAGTTTTCAAAATGTTTTCAACCAGTGCACGCGTCCTCAGGTACGCAGAAGGGCTGCAATTCAGGGAAAAAGGACGGGCAAACATGAGATGCAAAGCGCTTGGAGGTGTTAATTGGCATCAAGCTGGGCTTGAAGCAGTCCAAAAATTGACGTGCACACCTGGCCTAGTCTTGCGGCCAAGTCGAGCTCCTCAAGGTTCGCTGTGGGCGACATTGCTGATTCATGGCTGGAAGTGTGCATGCAAATTCGATTCGTTTTCCTGCAAGTCCGTGGCTGGTATGCTAAGAACATCCCGCCCTTGCCTCACCACCTCTAGCCACTTTCTTAGAATCTGTTTCTTGAGTTTCTTCATTTTACCTGTCGAGCGCCGGGGTTTGCGACCCGCGGACTTCTGTCGAGGCTTGACAGGCTTGACCATGGAGAAGCCAGAGAGATCTCCATCTTCCAAGGATTGCTCCGAGGTGCCTCAGGCGTTGCTGAACAGAATTTCAGCCCGCACTCGTCCAACAAATCAACAATCACAGAGCACCGCCGCCGCCAACAACAACAACAAGGTACAAACAAAAACTGCAGCCCCGTTACAACATATCTTCTTCCTTTGTCTCTACAAGGGGGTGGAAACAGACACTGCAACCGTTGTTGTTTTTTGAACCCCCCCGAAAACAACCAGCCAACCAAGTACTTTTACCAGTAGCGGTAGTGCTTGTACTAGTGCTAGTACTAGTGGTACTAGTACTAGTCGTTGTCATCGTAGTAGTAGTTGTTGTTGTTGCTGTTGTTGTAGCAGCAGCAGCAGTAGTAGTAGTAGCAGCAGTCGTAATACTAGCACTGGCACTACAAGTAGTAGCACGGGAACCACTCATAGTAGCAACAGTAGTAGAAGTAGAAGTTGAAGCAGAAGAAGAAGAAGTAGAAGTATAGGAGTAGGAGTAGCAGATAGTAGCAGTAGCAGTAGCAGTAGTAGTAGTAGTCGTAGCATAGTAGTAGTCGTAGTCGTAGTCGTAGTCGTAGTCGCAGTCGTCGTCGCCGTCGTAGTAGTAGTAGTAACAGTAACAGTAACAGTAACAGTAGTAGTAGTAATAATTAGTACTTGTTGTTGTTGTTGTAGCAGTAGTAGCAGTAGCAGTAGTACTAGTGGTAGTGGTAGTGGTAGTGGTAGTCGTAGTCGTAGTCGTAGTCGTAGTAGTAGTAGTCGTCGTCGTCGTAGTAGTAGTAGTAATGGTGATAGTACATAGTAGTAATAGTAGTAGTAATAATAGTAACCGGTCAGCTAAACCTCCGTAAAACTTCTACTTAGAACCTCTACCATTAGAAACAAAAAACTGCAGCCCCGCTGTTGTTTTTGGACCCCCACCTCAGAAGGTGTTGTTGTCTCTACCCCCTCCTAACGAAGACTGCAGCCCCGTTGTTGTTTTTGGACCCCCCCCTCCAGAACAACACCTCAAAAACACTAAAAATGGACCAGCCCAGACTTCAGTGAAACAAGTCCAACAAGTCCGCCTACTTACGAAACCCACAATCGCTCAAACCTTCAACCATATCCCTAACCCTCGTCCCCTTGAAGTTCCAAAAGCTACAACATGTGACAATTCTGTTGGGCGCCTGCGTGTGTCTCTACCAACAACAACAACAGCAACAAGAAGAAGAGCGGCAGGAGGACAGCAATAACCTATTATAACAACAAGTAAGGATCATGTTCCACACAACAAGTAAAATCAGGCTCCACACAACAAGCAAGGATCAGGCTCCACACAACAGGTAAAGCATCTAGAGAGTAATGCTGAATCGTGCACTCATGTATTTTGAGATATGTTACGCCTCTAGCATCCTCTAGCCAACACCAAGGTGCCAGTCGTTGGCGAAAGGTCACAATTCAAGCGTTCAATGCTGTTCTTGAAGTCGGCATCTGCCAATTCATGGGAGGGCACCAAGAAAATCAGCCGGTCACCCGGACAGAGAATGGTGGTGGTCTTCTCTGGGAGGTCCCACCAACCCAAAGTTTCACGACCGCCATGTACCACTGCGATGGGACTGATCTTGAAGTTGTGCCTCATGTTCAGCACCCTTAGCCCAAGCTTCCTCTCTTCCAACATGCCCAAGTGTTGGAAAATGGATTCCAAGGCTGGTTGACACGCGCTCATCCAATAGAGTTTCCTTAGGTGCAGCACTAGGTTCTCAGCAAAGGGTTCTGTGCAAATGGAGGCAGCCCTGGAAGATGTGTATGGAATTGGCCGGGCAGGTAGGAAGTCGCACGTTAAGTCCTCCTCTTGCAGGTCAAGCTCATGCATGAACTCCATCAGCCCTTCATGTCCTCCTTCTTGCACGCAAATACGCTTGGTCTTGGGATCAATCTGGTAAATGTGCTCCTGGCGATCAAGGTCCGTCCATTCCACAGGCTTGCGCACTTTGCGAAATCGCAAAGGAACTGCTTTGTTCCAAAGCGGCTAAGTGGCCATGGTCCTCTGCATGAATGATACTAAACTACCACTTGGATTTGGCTATATCTGGATATGGTGTCTGTGGTCACTCTATCTTGGCACAATAGGGGAGAACAAAAGGACGGACGCACACCAAGCAGCATAAGCTTGCAGAAGTCGTGAAGCTCCACGACCAGCTTCGTCCGTGAGTTCCACACTGTTCAAAAGGTGAGGCATCATCCAACAGTCATAGCCTGTGCTGAAGCTTCTTGTCTACATCCATGGGACTGGAATAGGCACCATACATCTAAAGCCCATGAAAATGACCCGCCCATGTAGGTCCTATTCCAGTCTCATGGCTGAATTGTCAGAATCTTGGGTCTGACTATGCCTGTGTGCATGATTGGAATAATTCCTGGTCTTAGGTTCTGGGAATGCTAAACAGCAGCAGCACACAACAAATGTTGAATTGCACTCTTTGCGCACCTTCATCGAGTTCGTCTTCAGCATCTGGATAGTCGCGAATGGGGTACTGAAAGGTGCGGTCCTTTGCCTTGCCACAGATCCGCACGATCTTGATGCCAAAGCGACCCGTACTGTGCAGCACTTTGAGCTTCACAGGACCTTTGCCTTGGAGTTGCTCTGGATGGTTGGAGAGGTTTTTCGCGTTTTGAAAAGAAAACTCCACCATACCGTGGGCTTCAAACATGATGGAACTCTTGGATCCCCATCAGTTCCAAGAGATGCTTCCCCAAGGTAAAAAGAGTTCAGAATGCCACAAGAATTCACCCAATAAGTAAGCCCAAGATGCTTAAAGCTGGACAGTCAGCCTTCACCGTGAATTGGAGTGTGGGGACCTCAATTGGAGCGCTGGCGGACATTCCAAGTCCCATCTCGCAAAAATACGCACAAAGCTGGACAAGCAAGCGCGTTGGGTAATTTGAGAAGCTCAAATGAGCTGGTGAACAGGGCAAGTCACGCGGATCAGCCTGATGACCTTATGTGTTTAGCTGTCACGTTCTGAAGCGTGCGCAAGGGCGAGTTTGCTGCATCGTCAGCTCTTGAAGGGTTTGGTTCTCTGGTCTTCCCAGCTTTCTCATCAGCGACATGCTGCCTCCAAACGAAGCAACGAACCACCCGAGCAAAGCACTCAGCATGGAACGATGGGGGGCTCCCTCACCCAAAAACCTCCATTCCGAACGCTCCGTTTCCACGGTACCGTGTGACACTTTGGTTCCGATCCTCCCATTTCACTGCAGAGGTCTTGGTGGAACCCTGTACGAAATGGATCTCGGATCCGACGACGCGGACCCTGACTCTCGTGTTGCTACGGGTCGCCACCCGAATCCTCAGGTCCAGGCATCTGGAGTTTCTCACCAATTCCCCCCCAGATGACTAAGACTATGGGGGGAATATATGACTAAGACTATGACTATATGACTATAACTATATATTGACTATAAGACTATATGACTATATGACTACAAGACTATGAAGGAGTCATGACTATATGACTAAGCGCCCTGCGCTGCCGCCAGGGGGTCCGCGATAGCCTCTTCTTTGAGTCGTTAAGCCATTCAGTGTTCCGTCCGTCGTGCACGAATTGCCCCACGTCGCTGTGGCGAGATGGGGACTTTGGGGCGAAGGGGGGCACTCGCGGTCTGGGCACGGCCATGGTGGCAACGATGGAGAAGAACGGCCATGGGTCACGCGGTCGGTCGCGGATCATCCACATGTTATATGTTGTGGTTTAGGCGGTAGTGGTAAGGTGCTTTTGAACACGGCTTTTGATATAGCCATGTGTACGCACAATTGGGACCTATTCAAACCAAGTCTAAACTGGTTGTTTGGGGGTTCGAGAGGTGTATCCAAAATAGGAAAAGCATGGAAAATCCATCACGCAACGATCGGTTCCGGAAAGATGTGAACAGTGGATGACATGTGGTCCTTCCCATGGAACTTGCAGGAAAAGTCCAACAGATGCTGCTAGCCCCCTTTTTTCCGGGCTTAGTCATAGTCTATGCGACGACCTTAAGGGAAAATCAGTGTGGATATGCTTGCAGCATGCCTTGACGATTCAACGGGTAACGTTCTAGATTCCTGCGGATACTCATCATATATGGAGGCATACTGGCCGTGGTATCGTAGCAAAAAACTTTAGATATAACTCCCAGCCCGTGACCCTTGAGAGGTTTAAGTGACCGAACCACCTCGGATCTCAAAGAGTCAACGAGTCACTTTTGAAGAAATTTGGAGAATGAATTGATATGTTTCTGCAGCATATTTAGTATTGAGATGCATTGATCAAACAGTACCTGGACCCTCTACAGTGTCCTAGAAGATGGGGCATGACCCATGACCAAAAGACAAGGTCCTTGTACCCATGTTCTGAGGTAACGAATCGGCTCCCAGTGCGGAGCCAAATGTGTACTGAGTACATTAATAAAAACCCCGTGGCCTGGAGATGCAAGGCGGTCCTAGATGGGGATCTACTTTTCAACAGCCTACTAGTGATCCCCAAATAGATACAGTACATGTTTAGTGAGTTTAGTGGGGATCTACTTTTCTATAACTATCTTGGGGCCTATATATATATACATGAGTTTTCTGGAAAGTATTGATCAAGAAGTTGTGTGCTTTGACGCGTCTTCACCAAATTCTCGGTGTGATCGCTCGCCTCTTCCAAACGAGAGGTCCGTCTTCGCCCCGGTCGCTCTACCCGGTTTCGGCGAATCTGCTGGGCTGTTCATCAGCGCTTCGGCCACGGACGTGAAAGCTCCCAGCGGATTCGGAATCCAGATCGCACGGTGTCATCAAATGAATGTAGTTCAACATGCTTCAACCATCCCTAGGACTCCTGTCCCATCTCCGCAAGAAGGTAGGGAGTCTGACCCCCTCCACCTGAAAACGAAGGTAGGGACTGTGCCCAAAGGGGTCATGGTCGACCCGGTTCCTTTTTCCTGACGACGCATGAACTTCTGTTTCTTCCGAACTGAAGCGTGGGGGACTGGATTCGTACCAGAAGTGGGTGGGAGCCGGAACCATGACCGTTTTCAAGAGCTCCAGTGGCCCCAAGTTATTTGGAGATCACCCTCCCTAAGAATCCCAGCAGTGACCAGCAGGACATGGCAGGGATGGACAGGGCCTGGAACTCACGAAATTGACAGGGCTCAGAATTGGATCTGCGTCGGGGATGAAGAACTACCGTCCTTTCTGATCATTGCCCCTCCCCGAACTCTCGGTTGCTTATGACAAGAGTGTTCATGTTCCAAGCCCATGTTCCAAAATGCCTTCTTGATAGTTGAGCCAGCTGTCTTCCCCAAACAACATGACATGTTTCTCAGCCAAACACCAAGACTATCACCTGTTCACCCCTCTCGTGAATTCCGGGGAAATGTATCCTCTCTTGAACTCCAACAGAAACGCATCGACAAGATGTTTCCTCTTCCACCAACAGAGGTTGAAGGACCCTATAGCCTATCCCAGTTGGGTACCCCAGGACTGAGGTCCTAGTTCAGGTCACTGGACTGGCATGTCGTCCATGGCGGGACGGCTATATCCACTCAACATGCTTTGGGTTCCCTGTCCCATGTGTGCCATCCTCAATGCCTGGCCCAAGCACTGCCAAAATTCATGTTCATGTCATACAGTTCAAAGGTTCTGCATGTCGGTTCGTGGAGATGCGGTTGTTCGACCTGGAAAAAGAAAAGGAAAAACAGGTCTTTTTCGGCCCGTGATCTGGAAAAACTTGAAAGGGTTCACTAAGGATGCCTATCTATTTCACAAGGTCAGGATGAGCAGTTCACCTGGCGATGCGACGGGGCGACACTGGAGGCAGGACCGTCTGCTCTGCGACCAGAGTCTATTGACCAAAGGACCAAAGACCTCCCTCCCTGTCAGTACAATTACATTTCATTACATGTATATGAAGTACCTCCCTTGTTTGAGCTCTGGAAATCCTGCATGCATTCCAGCTTGGTACAGTACATATTGGGCTGTCCTATGTTCTTGTTCATTGAATTTGTAACACTGTTTAAGCAGCTGCGGGGCTCAAAGGCCCAAAGGCTCGGGCGTGCGGTCGCCCAGGGCGGGTTGTGCGGCCCCAAGTCGCAGGTCCGTGTCCATAAGGTGGGTGCGAACACCCATCCCCGAAGGTTCACGTGGCTTGTGACTTTGGTGGTCCGCCTTTTGTTCACGTGGGTTGCCATGGAAGCCGCATTGGCCATCGCCGAGGGCATTCTTCAGGATCCTTTGAAAGTTGAGCTGCGCTCTATCCTGCACAATGTATCGACTGCTGGTCCGCATCTGGCTTTGGATGATCGCATTGTGTTGGGAGGAGAGGTCGTCTCCGTACTGCAGGAAGAGTTGGTCTTGGCCATTTTTCCCTTCAAGCCGATGCGAGGGTTTGAAGCTGCCCCATGTGATGAAAAGATGGTGAGGGTGAAGATTCCGGGATTGGGTGATCGGTCCATTCACACAGTGCCTGGAGTTCAGATCATGTGCGCTGGAAAACCGCTTTTCTGGGATGACATGGTATATGAGTTTGGTGCCAATGTGGCGGTCACCTTCAGGCCGGAGATCAGTGACGCGATGCCGTGGAATTTCCTCCACCTTTTCAGTGGCTCATTCGGAGGATGGAGCCAGGCGGCCTCCTTTCTGCAAAGAGCTGACCAAGGTTTTTCATTGGGACAAGAAATCTTTGTCGACAATGACGAAACAGTTATGCAGATTTGGAGTGCCCAAGCTGGCTGTAAACATCTTCGAGGACCGCTGGCATATGATACGAAATGGTCGCCTGCTTCAAAGATCGGCATCCTCACGTCAGTGGGGGATTGGTCGCTGGCAAATGTGTGTCGCATTCAGACAAATCTTTGCTGCACAGTTTCGCCTCCATGCCAAAGTTGGTCGAAGGCTGGACAACGATTGGGGCTGCAAGACAGCAATGGATGGGCATTCATCGATGCCATCAAAATGATCACCATCGTACAGCCAATCACAATTGCAGCGGAGTGCAGTGATGAAATCACTGAGCACCCTCATTTTAAGATTCTTGAGGCACTCATTCACTCGCTTGGATTTCGGCGAACGTGGACGCAGGTCAGACCATGCTCGGTCTCGTTGGTTATGCACATGGGCTCGAGCGGATGTGCAGGCTCAACCCATTGGATTTACATTCACTCTCAAGGCTTCTCCCAAAACACCATGGGATGATCCAGTGTATCATTTTCGGATTCCTGATGTTTGGGTCAATCAGCTGGTCCTTTCTGAGTCCGAAAGAGCCATATACAACGATCCTCAACTCTTTCCAGGTGGCAAGCGTAAGCGACCAGATGGGGACAATCATGCTGCGCACCACACCTTGTGGGCTAGGGTCCACAATGGACATGAGGCCCTTCCAACACTCTGTGCATCGTATTCATCCCAGCACACCCTTGCCAAGGTTCATGTGCAAGACCGTGGATTGTTCGCTTTTCTGAACCACACCAGCCGTGGTTTCGAATTCTTCGATCCTGCCAGGTTTTGTGGACTTTTGGGAGTCACTGAGGACAGAACCTTCCCCACTAAGGTGCAGTCTGCCTTTCGAGGCATTGGCAATGCGATTTCTGTGCCTCATGGCCTGTTGGCGATCTCGATTGCGATGCACACAGCCGGCCAAACCAATGTAGATCCGCTCAAAGCCGTTCGGCAGGCATGGCATGCACGTTTATGTGCCCGCAATGCAGTTCTTTTCCATCATGATGCTTTTGTGCATTTGATTCATGTCGATCATGTGGGACAATGGGTCTCCATGAAATCTGTGCCGGAAGTCCCTGATGCCTGCCGTGTCCTGATCCAAGGGTCGTTTGGCCATCATCAAGTCAATGTGCATATCCCGCAAGAGACATCGTGTGGTCATGCTCTTCACATGATGTTTGCAGGTCCTAATGAACTTATCGACATGATCGCTTTCCGTGCACAAGACAGCAATCCCAACAAGCATTCGTGCATTGCCCAGCTTGCAGATCCCGGCAACAGCTGGGAATTCGTCATCGCCGGAACCCCCGTGGGGTCATGTTCGATAATCATCGTGCCGAAAACTGAGGTCATCGATGTTCCTGATGATGATGACCATCCCATCGACAAGGTCTACCAAATTGCTGAAGAGATGCCTTTTGAGGATACATGCAAGCAGTCTTGGTTTCAGAATGTTCTCTCCTGCTGTGATCGGCTTTCACCAGGCTATGGCACTTCGCAACGAGTTGTCTTTCTGCATTCGGTTGGACAATGTGATGTCCAGGTCGCTGGCAAAGGAAGTGAAATCAAATCCATCTCCTATGAGATTGCCCGTGCCTGGAATGGTCAAGTCATTGAAGTGCCAATTGAGCGGGCATTCCTCACCCATTTGGTGTGTGGAGCTGATGAGTCC